ATGTCGTGACTAACATCACTCTCGTTCGAACTGGAAGTTGCACTAACATTCAAAATCTCATTGAACAAAGCAGAAGCTTGAGTCCTTTCCTCGTTTGTTGGCGCGACGTTGGGTGCCTTCGCAACATTTTTGTTTGGTGGAGTAGGAGGCGCTTTCCTTTTGCAAGGATTGTTCGTCACCTCCACAGTGGCAGTAGTTGTCTTGGAACTCAACAAAACGTTTTTAGCTCCTTTGTCCACATGGGCATCCCCGCCAGTCGAAAGGGTAGACTTGGATAAGACCTTGGTGCTTGGCGAAGGATCTTTAGATCTTAACTTGGACTTGGATGACCCTCAGTGGGTGTCCTTTTGACGTTGATCATCTTTAGAGGATAAAGGAATATCATCTTTCCTTGGAACTTTCAAAATGATATGAGCGCTTTGTCGGGAAGAGTGCACTCGATGAGCTGACCACCAATCTGCATACTTACGAGTCATTAGAGGGCCCTCCTCTGATGGACGCATAAGGACAATAACTTTTGACGAACCTCCAAGACGAACACAAGAATCCCAAAATTGCATTAGCATTTTCAGCGAGCCGTCATAGGGTCTCTCTATGAATTTGCCAGGAACATCTTGACAAAAGCCGAATTGACGACTAAACCTATGCGGGCTGTAAGATGCCACAATATGAATGTCATCATGCCTAAGGGTGACGAAGCTTGAGCGAAGACTTATAAAAAAGTCACTCCAAGAATTCGATTGTTCGTCACGATCGGTATGATGCAATTCCCTCCCTTGTAGCATAGCCAAATGGTGAAGCTGTCGCGCACTAACTTGTTGAAACAACTCACGGGCATTACTAAGGTCGAAATGCTTGGCCATCTTCTCGCCAGAAACTTTGCACATCTGCGGACCTCGTTATGGACGCTTAACACGATAGTAGGTGTCAAAATATGCTCCTATCCATCCATATACATAATGAATAGGAAAGAGTGCTTTGCAGGCGCCCAAATCTTGAGAAGTGGAGACCTCCTTCAAGCCATGATAAATACTTGCAAGGACGGGAACCGCCAAGGAAAACTTCTCTCCATGAGCCATCAAACTCGCAATTTTGAAGACACTAGCACGAATGTAGTCGATCTTCTTGTTGGGGAACACAAATTTGCAAAGCCAACATGCAAGGAAAGCCGCCAAATAAGTCTCAGCTCTAAGTAACTCCTCCACGCCAAGCTCAATAAAGGGGGCATTCTCCTCATTGGTTCGTGGTAGGAAGCTCACGTCAATATTCCCAGAAGGATTATGATTCAACTTCGGCCTTGTAGTCGTATTCCTTGATGACTTTTGCGGAGGCTTGGCATACCTACTCGGGCCTCGAAAACCAAAACTCCACCCAATTACGAATGGAGACCTCGTGGACATCATCCTTCATGAGTTTGTAGAATGCCGAGAACAGGTGCAGACAACTTCTTGGGAGGAAAGGTTTTCCTTGACCGTCTTCTTGTGTCAACTCCTTAGCCGAGGGGATAACTTCGTCGTAGAAAGACCCATGCACCGGAAGGCCTCCGATTGCTCGCAAGTCCCACAAAGAGATGGAGAGTTCACCAATAGAGGTAGAAATTGTGTTGGTAGATGGACGCCAAAGCTCACAAAAGGCACAGAGGACATTCTCATTGTAGTCATATGTGAACAACGAAGCAAAGATGGCGTTATAGACCTTGATGCCATCGAGAGTCAACTTGTTGTGGGCAAGAGCATCTTCTACCCACTCCCAATATTTGTACGTATAGCGAACTTCACCAAATCCGGAAGGAGGAACACTCCAAGTGGCGAGACGACCATCGTAATCACGATGAAGAGGACTAGCAGACGCGACCTTTTGATGGGTGGAGGACTTCAGAAGTAGGACCTTCATGTTGGTTTCTTTGCCCGAAAATCTGTCCAATGCATCCTTCGTCTCTCTAGTCGACCATTATGCAAGATCAAGGGAGGCGTCAAGCGGCTTTCTAGCGAGCGGGAAAGCACCTATCACCGGAGGATGAACTTCTAAAGTTAGAACTTGGGCGCACAGATTCTGCTTGTCGCTAATAATCTCAAGGTATGGGTACGGTGTATCATGGTCGATGAAACGCATCCTTGCTGATGGAATTCACAGCCCTATGTGCTGCTCCGAGAGTCTGCGGAAAAAAAAAAAGAAGGGAAGAATCTATGGAAAAAAAAAGCAAGACAGAATGGGGCAGCATGTCGTAATATGTTGCCTAAATTCGAGAAAACATCTGGGAATATATCAGCATATTCTGATTATGATTTTTACCTATGTCGTAGCTCCGGAAGTCTAGTTTCCGTCGCCGCAAACTGCTCGTGATTTTGGCGTTCCTACACCAAGATATGATTTTTTTGGTTAAGACGCACAAAGCTGAGATGTCGAGCGTGACAGAACTTGGACCAAGTTTAGGAAGCTCACCTGAGATGATACAATGCGAATCTAAATCTAAATTTTTGATATGTTGCAGTACTCCGAGTCTAGTTTCTGTAGTCGCAAACCACTCGTGATTTCGGCGCTCCTACACCAAGATATGATTTTTTTGGTTAAGACGCACAAAGCTGAAATTCCTGGCAGCAGCTGCAGAAAAAAAAAAGTTAGGAGAATCGAGCGACGGGATTGCGTTGCCAACTATTGAAGAGTACCTTCAAAGCCAACCAGAAGGTAGTACAGTTGCTTTCATCAAAGAGCGGAGGACTACTGCTATGGCAACGATACAAGGAGAAAGTGGCCAATTTATAGGAACAAGCAAGGGAAGAAACTAAGGAAATTCTTGGTTTTCAAGTTAGTGACATATGTAAATAAGGAAGTACCATGTCCGTTTGTACATGGAAAAGATTGAAACCAGGAAACAAGGAAAAAAAAGGCAATTAAGGAAAAGTTTGACAATATGATGTTGGACAATATTGACGTTATTGACGTAAAAGTCTTGATTATTATTTAGCAATACAAATTGAAGTACCATGTCCGTTTGTACATGGAAAAGTTTGAAACCAGGAAACATGGAAAAAAGAAAAAAAGTCAATTAAGGAAACTCCTTCGGCAAGAAAGAAAGACAGTTAAGGAAATTCTTTTGGCAAGAAAGTAGGAAAGTTTTCGAAAGTTGTTTTATGATATATATGGTTAGTCAAACTAGAAGTTTGCTCAACCCAATTAGGAGGTGAAATTCATGCTCTTTCATTTTTTTCTTAAAAGGGTCCAAATTGGAGCTACAATCAGATAATTTGAGAATGAGCCATAGCAAAGTAGTACCCTTGAAAATAAGGAATTTGCGAAAGGAAACTGCTAAAAAAAAGGGGTCGCATTGGTACTTCAAGCATGTCTTCATGTTTCGGTAAGCCTACACCCCGACAAGCCTTGAAGCAGGGGGCATTTGTAGACAATTAAAACTTTGTCAAATTTAAATCCATAAGAAATTTGGATTTTACCACAAATTAAATATATATTGGTCCAATTAAGTAACACGGACTGGTATAATTGGGTTTGTTATTTAAATCCAATTAAATTAATTTAAATAAAGGTCCAATATATTATTGGGCTAGCCCGTCAATTGATCTTCTATCAAATGGGTCGGCCCATAAGCCCCAAGCCCAATGATCCACAAGGGTTTTCTTGGAGATTACTCCACCCCACACCTATATAAAGGGGTCAAAGGAGAAGGCTAAAAAAGAAGCAAGGAAGCAGAAGGAAAGGCTAAAGAAGCTCTGAAGAATAGCATCAAGGTCTCCATCCATATCTGTAATCATCGTCTGTCGTCAAATTCCAAAGGCGAACTCAAGTCATAGGCGGGCGGCTTCAAATCTTCCGTTCGTGATAACCCAACACCAAATCCTGGTTCGTGACGAGCTTCAAATTGTTCGTGACGTACTACAAATCTGAAATCCGTCAAGTTCAAGATCAAGCTCTCGAGCTCTTGAACCGTCATCCGTGAGGAGGAGAATCAGAGGACTACATCTCTTTAGATTTAGAGATATTTTAGAGATTGTAACCCCATCACTTGAAATTAAATATAATATTTGTCGCTATATTTCTTGTCTTGATTATTATTTTTCAGGAGCGAAATTTAGTTGTTACAATTATTAAGAAAAAAAAAGTGCTTCTCCCTTTAATGAATCCTAGCAATGTCAATATAGATTAATCTTGTCATGTATTCCGAATATCGTATGGTAATTAATATAATAAGAAATTTTAAGAAAATAAAAAATTAACAGAGAAGGAAAAACAATTTTTCGGACATCCAAAATAATTTCCAAGTTTGCTAGGTTGATATATTTGAAGGGAGACTTATAGGCTGTTTGGTCAAGCTTTTTTATGGGCCAAAAGTGCTTTTTTGGGCCAAAAGTGCAATTGAGGTGTTTGGCCAAGCTTTTGGAAGGAAAAAAGTGCTTTTGAGGAGAAGCAGAAGCAGTTGTAGAGAAGCAGAAAAAAGTAGCTTCTCTCCAAAAGCACTTTTTTGAGAAGCACTTTTGAGAAAAATACACTTAGAAGCAATTTTTTAAAGCTTGGCCAAACACTAATTGCTGCTCAGAAGTGTTTTTCAAACTAATTAGCCAAACACAAACTGCTTCTCACCAAAAGTACTTTTGAGAAGCACTTTTGGAAAAAAACACTTCTCAAAATAAGCTTATTTTTGCAGCTTGGCCAAACGGGCTAATAAATTACTTCTCACCAAAAGCACTTTTTTTAAAAAAGTACTTTTGAGAAAATCACTTTTCAAAATAAGCTGATTTTAGAAGCTTGGCCAAACTGGCTATTAGTGTAGAAGTTATACTACAAAATTCAGTTGGCTCCTTCAGCTTCCAACTTTAGGAAAATATCTCCCAATAGTAACATTTTATAAAGGAAACCCAGATTAGAGTGGTGTTCATATGAAGTGCAACTTGTAGGACTTTATTTTTTAAATTTTTGTTGCTTGAGACTAAAAAATTAGTTTCATGAATCACAATTACAAATTAGTTGATAAATATAACTATAAAGAGTAACACCGCATAAACCTATACCATTTATTATAATATGGTATCGGTGTAACATGTATTTTTTAGACGGAAAAAAGAAATTTGAAATCTTTCAAAACCAACCAATGAACACCCCTAGTTACAACCAGTAGGAGGCCCGCAATTGCAGAAATTTCTAACCACTTAAAGATTTACAAAAACTGGAAGAAAAAAAAAACAAGATTAATCTAAGTGACACCAAAAGGCTCAAAAATTGTATTCTACACCTCTGACCAGAAAAAGTGAAGCTATACACTGGGAAACGAAAAGCAGAACCAATGCCTTCCATGTAAAATCTGGTAGGCAAAGGTTAGCAAGCGCACGATGCAGGGAGCAGTAACCTTGAAACTTTGACCTGCAAAGATCAGTTACTTCCTTTGGGTCCTCTAAAAAAGAAACAACCCTGGGAATCAGCAGCTGCTTATGCTGCGACTCTCATGCTCTTTAGCATCTAAAGTAGCAGGATATGCTGCATCTAATAGCGACCAATTTTACTAAGCCGTCAACGTTTTTGCTTCTGAGATACAAAACGTATTCCTTGCTTTCCAAGTTCCAAGTTCTTCTTCTTCCCATCATCAAGAGCAACAGACACTACCGATGAGCCTTCAAAGACTTCTATCACTGTCCCTCTATGCCTGAAAAGTAAACAAAATTGAAACGTCAAACTAATACACCTCAACAAAAGTGTGGCACAGATTTATATGAATCCTTTCCTACATAATTTGATATATAAGAACCAGCAATGCAGTCACAATGAACTCGTAACTGATAAACAAGTATAGTTTTTTTTTCTTTATCCTACTATATCCTTCTGCCCCGACCCAATTCCCTTGCTTTATTGATTGCCTTCTTCTCGCAGATATAGAGATTACTATCGCGGAATATTCATTTCCATTGAAGTTGCATACAATTATAAGCACGTATGGTAATCAGCTTGACATAACAATAAACTTACCAGGTATTATCAGACGGATGATGAACTTCCACTCTCTTTCCTTTTGCATCTTTTCCCAACTTCTGCAGTATCCAGTTAGCATCCATGAACTCGTCCATTGTACTATCCTCATACCACTGAGATGAATTATCATCAGCCTTAGTTGATGCTTTTTCTCCAAAGGCTGGTGGTCTCTTTCTTTTAGACCTCTGGCCCTTAACCATGCTTTTCTCCTCCTCCCCAGGAGAAGCCCACGCATTTTGACTTTCATGGTAAGGATTCTTGAACTTGAGCTTTAGAAGAGGTTTTGGATCCTTTCTCGTTGAATTAGATACTGAAGGTGTACTAATTTTCTCATCGTTCAGGTCATCACAAGAAGCGGGCCCAGCTTCTGCATGTTTCAAGGAAGCCAATTTGTTGCCCCTTGTGGCAGGAACTTCAGCTCCAGCCCTTGTAATAACACTACCATCATTGCTTCTCTTTCCTAAGATACCAAAAGTCTTGACCGGAGGAATAGGTCCAGATCCATCGGTAAATTTTCCACCAACTTTGACAGGCAAATGGGTAGCTTCTGAACTAACTTTCTTTATCTTTATTAAGTGACTTTCTTTACCCCTAGGATTTTGACCCTTTATTTGGTCCATATGATCCACCTTATGTCCTGCAGACACAGAACCGGGAGCCAAAAGAAAAGTTACTAACAAAAACTAAAAAAATGCTTTTAAAGCAGTGAATTAAATTTTATCTTCATGCC